TCAGCCTTTCTGTAATTAATTTGAGACACAGTTGGGAGCTTCCTGAGGCAAACACTTAGTTTTGTTAGTAATTCAGGAAACTTTCATCACCCATGTGGGTGGATTTCTTGGAGACCAATTTCTGGGTGTTTTGATGTTTTGTTTTTGAGTTCTACTTTTCAGTCTTTCCTCTGATGCAGGATCTCTGTCCCTAACTTCACATACCCAGTCGTTTTCCTTTGGCCCAATCATGGTCGACAGACATCTTTGTACCTTGGCTTTCTTGTACCCTCTTCCCTTAAGTCTGCTGCTGTTGTTGGGTTTTGGTTTCGTTTTGGCTTTTTTTACACTAGTATTTCCAGGTCTTGTTTAGAAGCTTTCTTTCACCCTTTGAGAGAAATAACTATGAGAAATAGCTATGGTAACTCATACATCCACCTTTTTATCATTGTGCTCAAATGGTCCAGATGTGTTTTATTAAAATCCTCTCTAAGACAGTCATGGCTGGTTGCCAAATCAGCCCAAAGTGGACCAATAGTGGCTGTGCTCTCTCTGAACTCATTTACTGTGCTTTCAGCTTTTCTTTCCTCATACCTGTGCTGCTCAGCATCAAAACAAACCAGTTTAAAGCTTGCTCTTATACACTGTCATAAGATGATCCACAGCAAGGCTGGCACACAGACATACCTTTACAGTACTTCTGGAATCCTTCTGAAGTGACTTTGATCCTGTAGCTGAAGTGGGACAACTCAGCAGTGAGTTGGTTTGCTCAACTTCCCTAGCAGTTCCTGACACCATTTCACTCTATTCTTTTCATTTTATACATTCAACTACACATGTTCTCCTCTGCTCTTGACGTGTGGAGAATGTAAGTTCTTTATTCTTCTATAGTCTCTTCTTCTTGCTTTTATTCAAATAAGTATGGTCATTCCCTGTCCTTCTAAACACGTTTCCCAAACAATACTGCTTCACTTTCTTTCAACTGTGGGCTTTTAAAATATGCATCCAGTTCTTACCTTTTGAAATCTCATGCCTTTTTAATTATATTTCTGTGGCTCAAAATGTAGGTATTATCTTTGAGCCTGCTTCTAAGTCCACTTTAAGGCATGCATGCTCACTTCACAGCTTCAGAAAGATAGGTTTAAGAGACTTAGACTTGTGCCAAAGGATGCTCATGTGCTTTGCTCTCTCATAACATGAAATTTAATTATTGCAATATTCTGTTTCCAGCTCTTCAGAACACTACTGCTCGTGTAATTGCTGGGATGAAAGCAATGTAAATCTTGTACTTGGGACTGACTTCCACAGCAAGGAAGTGAGTTCTTACAACTTCCTCTGACACACTGGTCTCTTGGCACAGTACCATCCCGTGTAGTCCTCAGGAAAAGAAACATCTCCTGTAAAAGTTAGTACTTTATTGACCTCATAATGAGTGCCAATTACTTGTTGTAAAATAACCGTAGTAATTTAATAGTTGTTTAAAAATGTAGCCAGCAATCCCTTTGGGAACTGGAATTGTTAAACTAATTTTATATCATTTTTTTAAGCACTGTTGTAGTTTTTGACTGGTAAAGGTAGTACTGTTGTTTATTTGTCTTTTGCTAGATAAGCCAAAATTATATGAGTAACCTTGGTCTCTTTTACTGGACTGACTGACAAAGTTGAAAAAAATGCAGTTTTTTTTGATCCATCATGTTTATGACATTGTTTGTGTCTGGGAGACCCTTAATATCCTGTGACATGTCAGTGAATAAATAGGATACAAAATCAAAATGGCCTTTATGACAGACTAAAAACTGATTAAATGCTAGGTCCTTAAGTATAATTACAAACTGGGAATAATTGCTGGAGTTGATTTGATTCTGGAGAAGTTCCAAAGGACTGGGGCCAAGAAATGATCTCTGTAAGATCTTGCTAATCCAGTACATCAATGTAAACTCATTATTGATAAAGTTTATAGGTTGAAGAAGGAAGCCATAAACTATAAAAGAGAGGAGTGCTGGGTGATCTGGATTGTTAGGAGAGCTCCATGGATGTAAATGACATTAATTGTGGTCAAGTACAGTAATATATATCTAGGGACAAAGTTCTTTGGCCATGCAGGGTACAATAACCTGTCCTAGAGAGCAGCAAACCTGAAGAGGGCTTACGGGGGATGAGAGGTGTGTGAGTCAGCATGGACGTTCTGCTGCACATCAGGGAGACTGAATGAAATCCTTGGCTGGTGAAACACTGGGTTCCCAGTAAGAATAGAAATGTGATGTAATATCCATTTAACACTGGTCTGACCTCTGCTGAAAAAATACCTGATGCAGCTACGGTTCACAATTCAAGGAGTAAAAAGATTTAATGGGAAAGGTTGAAGGGATGGAAAATATACCTTACAGAAAGAGACTCAGGGAGTGCTATCTATATGTCTTTATAATCACAACATTAAAGCTATCAGCTGGGGATAATAATAGTTCAGTAGTTCCATGAACAAATTCATAATAAAAACAAAACCTAGAAGTCAATGCAGGACCAACTGGTGTTCTAGAGAGGCAGAGTTACAGCTTCTTGCAAATGGCTCTAAGCAATCATTGGAACATTTCCCCAGTGGCTGTAATAGATCAGTCTTGATTTTTAACTCAAGATTGGTACATTAAGGAAAAAAAGGACTACAGACCAGATGCAAGAATTAATACACATAAGCCCTTCAGCTTTCATAAAGCACTGGGTTAGATAAACCAATGGTCCTGTCTGGTCTTAAACTTCCGTAGTCATCAACAAAACGATCATTTTTTTTTAAGTGGCCTCTTTGGGTGGAGTTTTCTCTTCTTGGTGTTATTCAGATTGGACTTTTTTGCCCAATCTTTCCTAATCTAATCTTTTTATTATTTTTTTAACATCATATAGACAGAGCCATCAAAGCTTGTCGTGGTGAGGTTTATAAGCTAGAGCCAGTTGGTGCTATCTCCTTGGCAATGTCTCTTTAGTGGCAGCAGCTTGCAGAGCAGTACTGTCAGACGGCAGTCGGGGCTGTCAGAATGTGCACAGCAAATGACTTAGTCACACCCCTCACCCAGGCTTGTGATATGGTCCTAATTTCTGAAGGTGTGCAGGATCTTTCCTTGCTGGGTTTCTCCATTGCCTTTGTTATTTATGTTCCTCTTTCTATGGACTGGCAACAAAATGGAAAGAGGTGTGTCAACCAAGGGAAAACCTCTGGGTGAAGAAAGGCTTACACACACACACACATACATAAATATATATATATATATATATGTATATTTACAGATGAGAATTTAAAGTAGAGAAAAAGCCTTTCCCTGATTCTGTTTTATTTTACTTTAGTTTCTGATCCCAAGGAACATCTGTCAATGGAACCCAGTAGGGCCTTCATTAGCTGTCAAGTAGTTGCCAGCAGGTATTACTGATCCAAGGGTGTCACAGGCCCCAAGTTACCTGGAAATGCACTATGCAGCAGAATGGGAAGGATATTGTAAGGAGAAGTGTTGCTGAATATTGATGAAAACAAACAGCTTTGCTTAAAGAAATAACATATAAAGTTGTTTTTAATAGCTGTCTGTGCTTAGAACACACATCTAAAAGCTGGATTTTATCGACATAATCTCTTAATGAGGCTGCAAAGCTGTTTTCCTTCTCTACTGTGCCATTTCTCATGTTTTACCTTTCCCTCGTGTTTGATTTTTTTTCCAACATCAATCATTCATTTACAGCACTTCTGTTGATGTAAATGGGCTTTGGATCAGGCTCCAAGTTACCATTTCCCTTCTGTTTGAATAGGGATTTTCTTTTATCCAGAGGAAGGAAATCAATAATTTGCATGACAAACCAATACTCATTCGGATTCACAATCATGCGATCAGCTCTTCTGTCATTTTCTAAAGCATGTAAGGATAATGGGAGAAGAGTCTCACTTGTGATTTCTGCTGTTTTCCTTTGTTTTCCTCAATTGATTTAAGGTCTGTACTCCCTTTCAGCGTTTGCAGGACAGATTACAGTAAATCTATCTTTTGTTTGCTTTAAAGGCAGTACTAACTTTCCATGCATTCTGTGCCCTGAGTCTTTCCCAGGGGATCATTCAGGGATCCATCAAAGGATTAACCTTTGGCATGACAAATTAACAGATGTATCTGTAGGAACAAAATAAACTATACCTTGCAGTAAACTTGCATAACCTCTACCATTCCTTTCCACTTGGAGTTTTGCAGATGGCAGGTTATCTACAGAACTGAGCTCCCATCCTTTTTAGGTGCTGCTACCTCTGCAATCCCACCAGTGCAAGGAACACTCACAATCCTTGGCTGTCTCAACACAGGGAATGCCCAGGTGCTTTCCTGCCAGTCTTCCCCTGCAAACTCATGTTTGGGGATTGCTCAGGGAGCCTGGACTGCTGGGTGATCCTGTGCAGGCTGGCAGAGCAGGCTGGAGGTCAGTGCAGAGTGCGGAGCCCTGGGCCTGACGCTTTCCCCTGACTTTGTCCTAGGACTGCTTGATCACCTCCCTGTGCTTTGACTTTTGCAAAAAGAGGGATGGGGACCGGTTGCTGATGGCCCCACGAGCAGCTGGTGTAGGGTTCTGGCTAGAGAGGGAGTTGAGGGGGGAACTCACTGACACTTTTGTGTTCTCTGGGCTGAAAGAGGGTTTGGTGCAAGTGTTTCATTCTCCTGTCCCTACAGCCACCTGTGTAACATTTCCTTCTCTGGAGGTTCTGGCACCACTCAGCAGCCTCTTCTCCTCGCTCCAGCCCTACGGGAAGAGCTGGAGAGGTTGGGGCAGGTCCAGGGCTAGGCTGGAGCTATGTGTGTGTGTGGGAGGGGGAGCTGGTGCTTGGCGTGCGGGTGTAATTGTGGGGGCGCGGCTCTGGCGGGGGAGGACCGAGGCAGGTGGGTGTGAGGTGTGGGTGGGGTGTCGGGGAGACAAGAAGGGGTGTAGCGAGCGCCGTGGGCTGTACGACGGGGGGGGGGGGAACAGGGCGATCCTCCCCGCCCGTGATTGGCAGCGCAGCGTGTCCCCCCCCCTCCATCCATCCCTCCGCGGCTGGTGCTGCCCTTCGGCCGCCGCGGAACGCGGGGCGCGGAGGGCCGGGCTCTCACAGCGCTTACACACCGCACCGCCGCTCCCCTCCTGCCTTCCGCCGCTCTCGTCTGTTTTAATTTTAATATTTTTTTCTTCCCTCCTCTTTCTCCCCTCCCATCCTTTTGGGCGCTTCCCCGCTCGCCCGCCCGCCCGCCCCGGCGGGCTGCCCTCCGCGGGCGCGCAGCGCGGGGCCATGCCGGCGGGGCCGCCGCTGCTGCGGGCTGCCCTCCTCCTCATCCTCGTCCTCCTGCTCTTCCTCGGCGCCCCCCCGGCCCGCGGAGTCGTGTACACCAACCATTTCTTGGTGGAGCTGCGCGGCGGGGGCCGGGCAGAGGCCGATCGGGTGGCGGCGGAGCATGGCTTCGGCGGGGTGCGCAAGGTAAGCCCCCCGCGCAGGGGCGGGGCGGGGCGGCGCGGTGCCCTTCGCGTTGGGATGTCCTCCCGTGGCCATCCCCGGCACGGTGCTGCCCGCTGCTCACCTGCGGGAAGGGACGGAGTGGGGCGCGTCCGGCTGTCCCCGCGTTAATCCCCGCTTCCCGAGGGGGTTCGAGGAGTAGCGGGTACCAAGTGCTCCTCGGCGGCGGCCCAAGAAGGGTGGCTGTCTTGGACTGGAGAGCAGAGGAGTTTCCCCACATGGTTGACTTACTATGTAAACATCCTACTATTGAGGAGCTCCCCATCCTGAGGGGCTGGGGCTGCCGCCCAGGGCTTCCTGAGCGCGGCAGGAACTGTTCGGAGAATCTGAGAAAAAAATTAAAGCCTGATATCCATGGAGAAGCTTGCACACAATTTAAATGGAAGATTTCGTAGGGGGTTTGACACTCAAGTTTGCGAGGCTGGTGGCTTCTTAATATCCCTGTTATTTTCCTCGGGAAATAGGATGACCTTAGGCTGAAGAAGCTGCTTGGTATTAAGCATGATAAACAATCAGTGCTTCTCACTATTGAATGTAAGTTGGGAAACTTTGGGTGCCATTGGAGGTTATTTTCACTCCTGAGGTCCCAGGAAATCAAAGGTAGCCAGAGTGTCGGGGAGTCCTCTCCTGGCTCCTAGAGAGCCCAGCTCTGCTACAAATCTTTCCCATTCAGATAATAATTAGACCTCTGAGTGTGCTGGGGTACAGTCAGACTTGGAGTGAAGACAAGGGGAGAGGCTGATGGAGTGCCCTGGTCAATATAATTCCTGGCAGACTCGGCTTGGAGGAGCATGGAAGGAAAGCAGGCTGTGAGCATTCCTCCTGCTGCTGCTTGTTTAGATTTTTTCTTTCCCTAGCAGTTATGCAATGAGAGCCTGATCCCACTTCCAAGGAAATGAATGAGAATAGCATCCTGAACTTGGATGAGTGAAATGACTTAAAACCTCGATTTAAAAATAAAAATTAAAAAAGCCTATCAAGTGAGACTCCCTCCCTCGAGTTTGCCTTGTTTCAACTCCACTGGGAGCTTGTTAGAGAAATGAGGACAAGATCATTGTTGCTGTGACCACAGCCAACTCCTGCTGCTGATAAGATGCTTTTGTTTTGGGCTCACAGCCTTGTCCTGATTGTGACAGAGCTGGGGTGCTGTTGCCTTTGGGAAAAGATTCATTGTGGGGACGAGGTTTTGTTACATGAAATTTATATACAGCTTTTCAGTCAACAGTTTTCCCTTTTTATTTCCTCCCTGTTTGTGCCCCCTCCTGGGGATATCTGACTGATAAGGCCTTATGAGGAGGGAAGGGTACTTTTCTGCATAGTTCAATTTCTTATGACTTTTGGTAGATGCTTTCAGATGATCCTGTGATCTGCATAGGAAAGAGACAGGGAGAGAGGATTCTGTAGGATGGAGAAATGCAGCTTCTGGGCTGTCAGAATCCTCTCCCCTCCGTCATGCCTCTCCCCAGGATGCCTCAGGCACATTAGGAGACATGCAGCTTCATCATGGAAATCAGCCTTGTAGCTCATCTCAGCAGAGAGCTGGAGGAAAGTCCCTTGGGTGTGTGAGAGAGTACCTGCTTTCCAGGACACGCTGGGGGGGTGGAGGGGTGCCTGTTTCCCATGGACACGGGTGGCTCTAGGAAAGAAGCCCTGCAGAGCCATGGCATGCTGTGTGTGTGCGCCTGTGGGGTGGGGCAGCAGGTGGTTGCAGTGGCTCCTGTACCCAGCACATGCTGTCCCAAGAGGTTTTTGGGTTATGTCATCCCAGTCACTGAAAAGCTAGAAAGCCTCCCACCCCCTCCTACACAAGTGAAAGGAAATAGCACCCTCCTATCTGCAAGGTAGTAATTTTAGGGAAGAGGAAAAGTTGGTGGGGTTTGACATTTTGCTGGCTGTGTCAGAGGATAATTCATGAGGGGCTGACAGCAATCTCCGTTCTGTGGGGGAAACCCGTAACGGGGCTTGGGTGGCGGTACTTGGCAGGGAATAAAAGCTTGTGCCATCTGCTCCAGTGGCTCTTCAGTATTGCTGAAGAGCCTCCTCTCTGTTTTGCTATCATCAGGCTTGTCTGGCATCTCTGCTTACAGTCTGCAGACTCAGCTTTAATAGCAATAACGTCGGTGCAGAAAGTTGAACGTGGCCGTGTGTGTAGAGAGGCAGAGCTGTTCATGGGAAACTCGGGGGAAAGTACTATGTGGAGATATGCTGTCTAATGAAATATTCAAAAAATACCAGAAAAAAACTCAAATTATACCACAAGGAGATATGATCTTTTGGTACTTCAATGATACATGCTGTTTGGATGATATAATGATTTTTTTATGTAAAACAAATCCAGTTACCTTTACCCATACTGGAGAAAAGCCATTGTCTGAAAATAATCACCTTTATTTCAGTGCAGGGATTTTCCCAGTAGGAGCACAAGGGCAGATTCAGCTTTTTTTTCTATGTGTGAATTTAAGATGTGTATGAGAAGGATTTCTTTTATGCCTGCTATGTATCACAGACCCCTTTTAACATGACTTTATGGGAGCTGATTTTTAAATTACATATTTTTAGTGCACGTTTTTTCCCCAATAACAACCAATCTCTGAGCAAGTGCATATTACATTTACTTAATAGCAGATTTCTGCAGAAATACGTGAGAAAACATTGCCTTGAAGATTGTTGTTATGAACTGTGTGATGTGCTTTTTAATTGATTTTTTTTTTGGCCATGATTCCTACTATCATTCTGAAACCACTACAAAACTTCAGGTGGGCTAAATGTGTTCCTTGAATTCAATGCTCGATGAACAAGGGCTTGGTGCTTTACATAAACAGGTGCTTATGTTTAGATCTGTGATTCTAATGTGACTTAGAGTGTCAAAAACACTAGTTAATTTTTCTTTAACCTTCCCTGAATGAATCCTGAATTCAGACCTCTTTGTAACTCTGATTGTGCTCTTTGATTATTATTTTTTTTAATGTTTGCAATTTGTCAATCTGTTTGTACCTACCAGGGGACCCCTGGTGGCCTAGTGGTTAGCATGCGGGACTCTCACCGCTGCGACCCAGGTTTGAATCCCAGTCCCCCCGGGCAGATGGAGCCCGTTAGCCCTGTGAGGCCATCCATCTATGAGAAGGTCACTCTAAACAAACCTACGTCCTGAGGACCTCACTGCCATTGTCCAAGCTTGCTTGGCCCCGGCAGATGAACCTTAGGATTAAAGGGTGGGCTCAGTTCAGCGCAGGCTGTGTCTCACCTAAAAAATCCATTGCGCAGGCTGGAAAGGTAAAAGACCTTTCCCCAAATCTTCGTTCACGAAGACTGGCCATTATTATTATGTACCTACCAAAACTGATTCTCTGTATTTCTGGTGAAATACTGTGATGAAGCATATTTTTTTCTTAAAATGCTTAGCCTTATTATCTCTGAGCTTTCAGGAGTCATGAGGATGCCCCCCTAGTATTGTGAGAACTGCAAAAGGAACAAGTTTTTTACCTTTGTTTGGTGTGTTTTCCCTTTTTATCTGCCTCCTGGCATCGTTACCGCGAGAATACATTTCTTAATGCAGGCTGAAAAAAGCTTCTTTCTGACCTTGCCTGGCAATTCTTAATTCATTTCTAACAAGGAGAGTTGGAAGAAGCATTTAGAAATGCTCCTATTTTGGAGATCAGAGTTTAGGCATCTCTTTCCATTTCATCAACAGCACTGAGACAATCCACAAAATGCCACCACAGCTAAACAGCTAAATGTTCTGCTTCTGGTAGCATTGAGGTGGAGGGTTTTAAACAATTAGCATTCAGCGGTTTTAGATTTTAAAATAAGGACCAAACCAGATTTCAAAGCATGGGGATTTTTATATTCCCCAAAGCTGATCTGTTTTTTATCTTGATGTATAACCTGATCGCTTCTCCATCTAAATCTTGCAAAACTCAATGTACCTCTCAGAGCAGTGACTTCTCTGCTTCCAGAGAAACAGACTTCTCTGTTTTTGCTGCTGGTTGAGGATCCAGCTTTGTGGAGCTGACCAGTAACTGGGAGTTTTTGGGGTGGTTTTGTTTTGTTGGGTTTTTTTTTTACATTGCATAAATACAGACTTACTGAAAGCAAAACTTAACAGGTAAAGAAGCTGTATTTCTTGCTGCAAGAGGCCACTTCTCTGCATCTAGTCTGGGAACCTGTGTGGTGGGAGTTGATGTGATGTGGAAGGCAAAACCAAGAGGCAGAATAATGACTTAGCAGCCTTAGGAGCTCTTTGCAGGGATCCTGAAAACTTCATCCTGGGATTTATGCACTAAAGCCTTGAAAATCCCCTCCTGTGCAGATCAGCCTCTAAATCTGGAGAAGAGGTGTTTGCCTAGCTTGGCTATCTAAGGTGCCAGACTATGCTTCTGCATGTCCAGGACAGATGGGATTCTGTGCATGTGGCAAATGCTGGTTGTGGATGTGGGCCTGTATATGTGTTTATAGATGTGTGTATATTATATACATATGTATGTTTCTTGTTCCTTTTCCCTAAATACCCTTGCTTGGAGCAAAGAAGAGTAGAGAAACGCGAATTCTTAGCCAAGTTCCTGGCTGACCCAGTGTGCACAGGTACTAACCAGCCCATTTGCGCACATAGGTGGTGGTCCATACTTCACAGATAAACATGCCTGTGTTACCTTCACATGTGCTGCTGTCCTAAGTGCTTGTGCAGGTGTTAATTGTGGCCAGAAGAAGGCAGCACAGAGGGTGCAGGAATGCTGAAGCAATGAAGCATCCCATGCAAAGAGGAGGCAGATTGCTCAGGCCTCCCCACATGAGGCCAGCTGGAGTCCAAGGACTTAAGATCAAGCCTCAGACTGCAGTGTTTCCGTGCATGAATACATGTTTAATAATTTATTAGCTTTGTGTTTTATGCTGGGGTAGAAGAAAGGATGTTTGCTTGCAAAAGCATTTCTTTATTACAGAAGCAGAAAAACCTTGTAAGACATAGA